TATATATATTAGTTGTATTCCAAGTTCAAAATTCACTGCCTGCTAAATAAACTAAATATAGTTTATATGCACAATAGATTTTCAGCAATAAATTTTAAAACATAGTTGTAGAAATATGGACAATTGTTGTTAAATATTTAGAATGATCAAGCTGTTTTTTAATTTTTATCAGGCTACTATAGTTTACAATAGTTTGCATGTTTAAAAAAATTTTTTTTTTAATTATGATTTTGCAAATTACTTATAGAAGTTTATAGATACAAGCATAATTAAAATATAGAATGATGTGTTTTCTTTTTAAGATGGCAGATGTTGATCCTGAGACTTTATTAGAATGGCTTAGTATGGGGCAAGGAGATGAAAGAGACATGCAGTTAATTGCATTAGAACAACTGTGTATGCTGTTACTCATGTCTGATAATGTAGATCGTTGCTTCGAATGGTAAAAATGACTGCAAATTCACAGCATTATGTATAAACGTTTTATATGTATTCTATTGTATATTTTGTATTATATTTTCAGCTGTCCTCCACGTACATTTCTCCCAGCGCTTTGCAGAATCTTTTTGGATGAATTAGTGCCGGACAGTGTGCTCGAAGTGACTGCTCGAGCTATAACATATTATTTGGATGTCTCTGCAGAATGTACGCGCAGAGTGGTTGCTATGGAAGGTGCAGTAAAGGCTATCTGTAGTCGTCTCTCTGGTGCTGGACTTGGTTCTAGAGTCAGTCGGGACTTGGCAGAGCAATGTATAAAGGTAGGATACATTGAATTAAGTCAATTCCATGTAAAATTTTTAGATTACATTTCTGGAATATAAGACAAATTGATGGAATCTCACTTTCATATCTTAAATCAGGTATTAGAACTTGTATGTGCCAGAGAGGCAGGTGCCGTGTTCGAAGCTGGTGGTCTACCTTGCGCGTTGTGTTTTATTCGAGAACACGGAGCGCGCGTACATCGGGACACATTGCATTCGGCGATGGCAGTTGTTACTCGACTATGTGGCAAAGTTGAACCTCAGGATAAAGCTTTACCAGATTGTGTCGAGGCTCTATCGGTGTTACTCAGACACGAGGACGCACACGTTGCCGATGGTGCGCTTCGTTGTTTTGCATCACTGGCGGATAGATTTTCCAGAAGAGGAACAGATCCTGCACCATTAGCATCAAATGGATTAGTTTCTGAACTTTTATATCGGTATATAATCTTTAATATGACGATATACATTGTCATTTTATATCTTTTCTTATGAGAATCATTTTCTAGATTGTCAAATGCGGCAGGCCCTGGCACATCCGCTACGGCGACTTGCAGCAATCCAAAGACACCTCCGTCATCCAGTACTGTAACCACAGTTCCAACTCCAGAACCAAAGTCTTGTGCTTCTGTTTCAACTATAATTAGTCTTTTATCGACACTTTGTAGAGGATCACCGTCCATTACGCACGATCTTCTACGTTCAGAATTACCAGATGCGATAGAAAAAGCATTAAAGGGAGATGAACGATGCGCTCTTGACTCCATGAGATTGATTGATCTTTTGTTAGTCTTACTGTTTGAGGGAAGATCAGCATTAGGACGTAGCACTACTGGCGGTCCATCTGGTCCCTTGCTGCCAAGACTGAGACGTTTGGATAGCGCTGGAGAAAAGTCGCACAGACAGTTAATCGATTGCATACGTTCGAAAGATACGGATGCATTGATAGAGGCGATTGATACAGGAGGAATTGAAGTTAACTTTATGGACGATGTTGGGCAAACTTTGCTCAATTGGGCCTCGGCATTTGGTACGCAAGAGATGGTTGAATTCTTGTGCGATAGAGGAGCAGACGTTAATAAAGGTCAACGATCGTCCAGTTTACATTATGCGGCTTGTTTCGGAAGACCAGCTATCGCCAAAGTTCTACTTAGACACGGTGCTAATCCTGATTTAAGAGACGAGGATGGTAAAACACCTTTGGATAAAGCCAGAGAACGCGTCGATGAAGGACATAGAGAAGTTGCAGCTATTTTACAATCACCTGGAGAATGGATGTTACCGCCGAGTCAAGAACATAAAAAACTTGAGACGGAAGTGGAAGAATTCACGGAGCCTAAGGGAGATCCTGAAATGGCGCCTATTTATCTAAAAAGATTGTTGCCCGTGTTTTGTGCAACTTTTCAGTCGACTATGTTACCAAGTGTTAGGAAAGCGAGCTTAAGTTTAATTAGAAAAATGGTGCATTACATCCAGCCAGAATTGCTTATAGAAACTTGTGGCTCTGATAAAACCGGCGGATGTGGAGCTATGCTTGTTGAAGTAATTGCCAATGTTTTAGATAATGAGGTAAGCATAATAATGGTAATTGTTCAACTACTGTCGACACAAATGATTTGTATTCTTACATATATTGAGCGACATTATGTATTTGTGAACAATAATAGTATTGAAAAGATAATTAAAGAAAGAGCACACATATATATATATA